GTAAGGGAAGTGCAGCTCTTTGCTGTAGTCCATCCGGAGATAGGTCCGTCCGCAGATGAGTCCATCTGGAGATGGGTCCATCCGGAGATGGGTACAGTCGGTTCCACCAACGTGAAGGCGTGCTGCTTGGGAACAGTCGTAGATCCCACAGTCGCTATTTAAGTCTGTGAGAGCCAGGCGAACCCCCTACTGCAACTGCGTCTGATGTATTGTGTCTAGCCTTACATTCAAATTGCAAGTAACCATAGACGGGGGAGGAAGGCACAGTAGCACTCTGAAATTTTGTATCATACAGTCCCACCATATAGTTTCTAGCACCCAACTAACTCCTATGTAAGATATCAGTCGTCATAAGGTACTGTTCGCATAACTGTATACTTGGCACGCACCGATCGATCCGAGCTCTTTTAACAGCATCTGGTGGTGTTGTTCTTGCCAATCTTATTTTATAAGAAAATTGAAGGCACCGTCTGAAATTTACCGCTAAAATGCTATAAGTACTATGTGTCAGGTCGATGGACTCGAAAAAAAAACCGGACTTAATAGGGTATCTGTATTTTCTCTGCCCCCTTTAGCACAAAGAGTCTGGATGCTATTGAGGCGAAAATCAAGGATCTGCACAGTCAGTCTTCTCGCTTGTTGGGCACTTTGGCCTGCAACAAGTCCTTAGAACTTTCTCTTCTTCGGACAAAACAAAGACGTCAGATCCAGGAAACGTACTTGGAAGAGCTGAAACAGGTTTGCTTTATGGCTGGTCACCTCATCACGTTTCATCATTGTTAACTCAAATGATCCCCTGCTGTATTGCCATCTCACGCGTAAATCCACCTTGCTGTCTGTTGTCTTCTAGAAAGAATCGGCGGCATCCAGACAGCATGCAAAGTTACGCATAATATACAAACGTCTGAAGATGGAGAAGCAACGTTTTGAAGCTATAAACTCTCTATCAATGGGTATTGCTTCCAACTTTGACTCTTTTCTAGGACTGATTGAAAGGGTAAGGTTTTCGTCCTTGACGACTCTGATGTTTTTTAAAATCCAACTTCTTGCGAACACGTAAACATTTCGGCCCATTTCTTTTGTCGTCGATGTAGCCTTTGTTGCTGTCTTCTCATTGCATGTTACTATGGGAAGTGTGTCATTTACTGTTCAAAAATACGCGTTTTTGGTTTTGATGAGTTCTTCGAAGGTCAAATGTCGGGAATGTTGATAATTTATCTGACTAGGGGGAAATTGGCAAGGGCTCAGCGAGTGATTTAGGTCGAATTAAGGATTGAAAAAATGGAAGAAGGTCAGGAGTGGTGTTGCGTTCGATGGCCGTGCCAAATTAATCGCTAAATGTGCGTTGACGGCAAGTTGGTCGGTCTGGGCACTGCTATCTTTTTTATTTGGTATTACAACTTTGAGCCCTTGTCACGTGGTTTAATTCTTGTCAGCCGCCTGAACCATACTCATTTACGGAGAACAGGACAGACGTGTTAAGAGAGTGTGAAAGTTGGTTGGCAGCCCATGTTGGATCAGGGGTTCCCGCCGGAGTCCAAACTG